CTACGGTGACTTAGTTTTTGACACCTAAGAAGAGAAACCTATGCTCCTTTGAAAGGAATATTAGAAAAAGAAGCAAATATTGAATTGGGAGCAAGTCTTTAGCAGAAGTTTGGAACTTTATTTTGCTCTTTACTTCCCAAGAAATAATTTGAGGTTTTATACTCTCTGAGTAAACCTGTTTTGGAAGAAACTGTACATTATGCGCGGTCACAAATTTTACTTAACTTCATAGTATATATTATATAGTTATTGTATTGTTACATATTACAAAAGAAAAGTTCCAAAGTAAGTTGATGGACCAAATTCTGGATTTAGAATGCTAAAATTCCTATAAAATCCAACACACACATTTGAAAACAAGTTTTCGTGATCCTCAATTTTGTTGGCGCTTGGAGTCTCCTTTAGGAGAGGAAAGCAGGACATGAATAAATACAAAAATATAATATAACATATACTATGAGATTATCAAATGGTTAGGTAACATTTGGGAGATCACATAATGTACAACTTCTTCCAAAGCAGGTTTACTTCGAGAGTCAAAAACCTCCAATTATTTCATATCAAATGCCTCACTGCAATTTGGGGGCAAACCAATCTTAAGCATGTTTACGTGTGAGCAAATCCCACTTGTTTCAATGAGATTTATTTCCAGGGGAAAGTGTCACAGCCTCTTAATGGACTTACTCCTAAATTATCAGATGCAGCTGCAAGCCGGCAAAAGCAAGCATGCAAATACCCAATATTTCTATAGATCTGACCTGTAGAAACATCTGGACACATGTTGATATAATATGATTCAATGGTTAGGTAAAATTCATGAAATCACACAATGTACAACTTCTTCCAAAAGATGTTTACTTAGAGTCAAAAACCTCCAATTATTTCATATCAAGTGCCTCACTGCAATTTGGGGGCAAACCTGTCCTAAACATATTTACGTGCGAGCAAATCCCATTTGTCTCAATGAGATTTATTGCCAGGTAAAAATGTCGCAGACTCTTAAAGGTCTTACTCCTAAGCTATCAGATGAAGCTGCAAACCAGCAAAAGCAAGCATGCAAATATCAAATATTTCTATAGATCAGACCTGTAGAAATATCTGGATGCATGTTGATATAATATTTACTATGAGATGATTGGGTGGTTAAGTAAGATTCATGAGATCACACAATGTACAGTTTCTTCCAAAACAGGTTTACTCAGAGAGTCAAAAACCTCAAATTATTTCATATCAAGTGCCTCACTGCAAACCAGTCTTAAACATGTTTACGTGTGAGCAAATCCCACTTGTTTCAATGAGATTTATTTCCAGGGAAAAGTGTCAAAGCCTCTTAAAGGACTGACTCCTAAATTATCAAATGCAGCTGCAAGCCGGCAAAAGCAAGTATGCAGACATCCAATATTTCTATAGATCTGACCTGTGGAAATATCTGGACACACATTGATATAATATTTACTATGAGATGATTGAAAGGTTAAGTAAGATTCGTGAGATCACATAATGTACAACTTCTTCCAAAAGACGTTTACTTAGAGTAAAAAACCTCCAATTATTTCATATCAAGTGCCTCACTGCAATTTGGGGGCAAACCTGTCTTAAAAATATTTATGTGCGAGCAAATGCCATTTGTTTCAATGAGATTTATTGCCAGGTAAAAGTGTCACAGACTCTTAAAGGTCTTACTCCTAAGTTCTCAGATGAAGCTGCAAGCCTGCAAAAGCAAGCATGTAAATATCCAATATTTCTATAGATCAGACCTGTAGAAATATCTGGACAAATATTGATATAATATTCACTATGAGATGATTGGATGTTTAAGTAAGATTCGTGAGATCACATAATGTACAACTTCTTCCAAAACAGGTTTGATTAGAGAGTCAAACACCTCAAATTATTTCATACCATACTCCTAAATTATCAGATGATGCTGCAAGCCAGCAAAAGCAAGGATCCAGATGATCAATATTTCTATAGATCAGACCTGTAGAAATATCTGGACACATGTTGATACAGTATAATATTTACAATGAGATGATTGGATGGTTGAGTAAGATTTGTGAGATCACATAATGTACAACTTCTTCCAAAACAGGTTTGATTAGAGTCAAAAACCTCAAATTATTTCATACCATATTCCTAAATTATTAGATGCTACAAGCCAGCAAAAGCAAGCATGCAAATATCCAATATTTCTATAGATCAGACCTGGAGAAATATCTGGACACACGTTGATACAGTATAATATTTACTATGAGATGATTGGATGGTTAAGTAAGATTTGTGAGATCACATAATGTACAACTTCTTCCAAAACAGGTTTACTTAGAAAATCAAAAGCCTCCAATTATTTCATACTCCTAAATTATTAGATGATGCTGTAAGCCAGCAAAAGCAAGCATGCAAATATCCAATATTTCTATAGATCAGACCTGTAGAAATATCTGGAGTGTGTGGTTAGGGAGATATTTCCATTCGAACATGAAATCTCAATGGAATTTCTTTTTCCTGTATCAAAAACTGGATCCTTTGCACCTTAAGCTCTCCGAGAACCACCGTTTTCTGCCACAATCTTTTCCACAGCGCGAATAGCTCTGCTCCAAAAATATGTTCCTGTGCTAAGATTAGACCATTAACCTCAAATAAGCGCCAACAAAAAGGCACACCCAGCTAGGATTTGAGGAAACTCTCAATTTGGAGCAAAAATCATACTCTTGTGCATGCTCAAAAAGTAATTCCCATTGCATTCGCTTGGTTTATTCTTAGGTAAATGAGCATCGGATGAGCATTCTCAATTCCAAGGCATAGTTTTACAGTCTGGAGGTACATTCTCTTGCTAGCAGTCAGCAACTTGTTGAATGTGCTTTATGGCAAAGGCTGTATCACTGTATCACTTCCAACGCAAAGCCAATTCCCATATTATTATTATTATTTTGGGAATCAGGAGCAGAGGATAAAGTCAGAAGACAAGCATGAGCAAAACCTTCAGAAGAAAAGACACACTGTGTAAACTCTCATTAGGCAAAGGGCTCAGGCATAAAAGACTCCACTGCAGGCCAAGAAATCTGATAAACCCAATCTTTGTAAACCGATTAGCAGGCAAAAACAAAACACAACAAATAAATCACCGCATAACCTTGCCCCAAAACGGGAAATGGCTTGCAAGGAATTATACCTTGTATTCCTATGGCTAAATGAAGAGTGATAGGAAACACAGAAGTTTCAGGAGTATTTAATTGTCTTCCCTTAATCTCATCTTGACAGTCTCTTTCTCGCACTCTCTTTCTCTCCCTCTGACTTACAGGTTGTTCACAATTCGAATGCATATAAAAGTTTCCAAAATATAAATCACACCAGAAGTGGAGCCGTCCTGATGGAGGGTGCCGGCAGGTTCATTGTATACCAATATTATTACAACATACTCAATCCTGTTAACACTTTGACAAAAACATGGCCTCCGGGCAACTTAGTCCAAGTTGTTGTTCAAGCATGGAAGAGAGTGAGTTATAAGCGAAATGCATTACACAAAACACAACAGAGGAGAAAAAGAGCATTTTGGAAAGGATTCCTTGAAAGTTACAAGGAAACAATGAAACAGCAAAAGGAAAAAACAGTTTGGTGCTTTGAAAGAAACACAACTGAACCGTGCATTGTATTCAGAGCCTGGTGTTTTGATGCAATCTTGTATTCTTTCCAATACATCCAGTTGACAAAAGAGAAGCAAAATCTCAAGATAAAATATTCAGGTATCTAGCAGTATTTTTTAAAAAAACTCTAAAATCATAACAGTTAATAAAGAGCAACACTCAAAAACAGGGGAATTCCAGACAAGAAACAATCAGGGCCAGCTAATCACCCCCAACAAAGGCAGTAAGAAGCCAGAACTTGAAACTGCTAGGCCATTAAATGCTAATCAAGGTGGCCAAATGAAACGTTCACACCTACCTCAAGCAGACACAAGTTCTTCTCCTACCCTGGACATTATTCAACAGATATATAAACCCCGTTTTCCTAGTTTCCAATACACCTCACAATCTCTAAGAATGCCTGCCACAGATGCAGGTGAAACGTCAGGAGAGAATGCTTCTGAAACATGGCCATACAGCTCGGAAAACACACAACAACCCGATAAAAATTATTTTGTTTGCTTAGCTTCTTTTTTGGGATGAGAGATGCCCATGGGGGGGAAATGGATTTGAAGACTAACAGGATGGAATAGGAATGCTGCTCAGTTTTGGGCTTGGCAAATGAAAAAGATTTGCTTCATCGTGGAAGCAACAACCAAAAAGGAGAAAGTAAAAGAATACCAGATTCCCTCAAGTAGTTAAAAGCAGAAGTTTCTCTCCCACAAGAAAATATATCCTTTGGACTCAATAAAAGCCACAAAATTTTTGTGTGTGTTAACATCACAGTGGAGAAAAATGCAGCCTCACAAAAAACAAAAAGGCAAATTGTTTTCAATTGTCTTCCTGACATTTCAAGCATAGGAACAAATAGCAACATGGGAATGTTAATCAATTGGTTGGAAAGGACAGGCACAGACACAAAGTTTCAAGAAGATGATCTTTTTTCCTCTCTCTCTCTAGACATCTCCAAATAATATTCGTAATATATTAATAATATATTTATTATTATTATTATTATTATTATTATTATTTATTAATAATTATACACATATTATATATATGAATAATATATGAATAATATATAGGTAATATCTTTGTATAATATAGAAAGAGTTGAAAGAAAAGCTTGGAACAGAAACTTTGAAAAGTTGGGCAGCCAAATGAGCTACTCAAAGGAAAACGCATCTCTCGGTGGCTGTATATGAAAATATACAGTTCTTGAAAAGTAGAACGTTTTCTTATTTCGGAAAGCGTATTTGATTTACACAAAAGAATGTTGGGGGCTACATTTACAATGCTGATGAAGATGAAAGGAGGAGAGGCGCAAAGCTGGCATGAAAAGGCCAAATCAAAGGCTTTCGGTGCCCTCAAACTTACCTCTCAGTTTGGGGGAGGGCAAGGGCTGGTGGGTCGGTTGACCCTTTGTTGGCTGAGCTGGGACCATTTCCTTGCAAAACAAGAGTGAGGGCGAAGGAGAGGGATGGCCCTTGGAAGAGGAACCCATGCAGTTCATCCTCCAATATGATTCTCCCTGCTCCAAAAGGCTTGGCACCAAGCAGGGCTTTAGAGATGGAGATTTGAGGATCTACAGAAGGAAGGTAATCTCGGAGGCGAAAGCCTTCCATGTATGTATAGTTGGAGAGTCGGAGACATCACTTGGAAGTCACCTCAAACACAATAATGTGGGCAAAATAATCTCAGAGGCTAAACTCTTCCATTTATGTATATTTGGAGAGTTGGAGACGTCACTTGGAAGCCACCTCAAACACAACAATGTGGGCAAAATAGTCTTAGAGGCGAAACTCTTCTATTTATGTATAGTTGGAGACATCACTTGGAAGTCACCTCAAACACAATAATGTGAGCAAAATAATCTTGGAGGTGAAACTCTTCTATTTATCTATCGTTGGAGAGTTGGAGACATCACTTGGAAGTCACCTCAAACACAATAATGTGAGCAAAATAATTTTGAAGGTGAAACTCTTCTATTTATGTATAGTTGGAGAGTTGGAGACATCACTTGGAAGTCACCTCAAATACAAAAATGTGAGCAAAATAATCTCGGAGGCTAAACTCTTCTATATATGTATACTTGTAGAGTCGGAGACATCACTTGGAAGTCATCTCAAACACAATATATGTGAGCAAGATAATCTCAGAAGCGAAACCCTTCCATTTATATACAATTGAAAAGTCCTCAGAGACATCACTTGGAAGTCATCTCAAACACAATAATGTTGTGCTTGAAATGAAAGTGAGTGCCCAAGCAATGGAGTGCAAAGAAACATAAGAATCAATCACAACAACAGCTCTCCAAAGTTGCCACACTCTCAAGGCAACTTTTGGAGCATTTTGAGATTTCTGGGTGATAAACTGATTAGCCTTAAAATGGGCTTGTTTAATAATACTAATACTACTATTAATACAACTAAGAACAACAACAACAATAATAATCTTTATTTATATTCTGCTCTATCTCTCCAGAGAGACTCAGTGCGGATTCCAAACATATTAAATATTTCTTTTCTGCCTTCCCTTATTCATCCTTTCAACAGAGCCATCGATCCCTCCTTGGTCCAAATATGGAATCATGATGACCCCAACATTATGGTCTAATTTGGTTGGGCTGGGGAGTCTAATTCAGATAGGGAAGGTTAGAGAGCCATCTCTCAGAGCAATTTGGGGCCTAAGAAGTTGGCCATTGTTAGGTCACCCCCAACTCTCATAAGAAGGTGGCTAGGAAAGCCTTCTCCAAGGCAAAAGGCACATTGGTCCAAAAAGAAAATCTCAAAGTTGAGCCACCTTTGCCTAAAGCTAAAGGGAGGGCATATTTCTGTTCCTTTCCTTCTCCCCTTCCTTCCTTTTCCTTTCTTTCCCTTTCCTTTCCTTCTCTCTCCTTACCATCCCTCTCCATTCCTTCCCTTCCCTCTCCTTTCTTTTCCTTCTCCCTTTCCTTCCTTCTCCTTTCGTTTCCTTCGCCCTTTCCTTTCTTTCTTTTTCCTTTCCTCCCCTCTCCTTTCTTTTCTTTTCCTTCTCTCTTTCCTTCTCCTCCCTTTTCCTTCCCTTCCCTCTTTCCTTCCTTCTCCTTTCTTTTCCTTCCCTCTCCTTTCTTTTCCTTTCCTTCCCTCTCCTTTCCTTTCCTTCCCTTTTCTTTCTTTTCCTTCCTTTTCCTTTCCTTCTCTTCCCTTTCCTTCCCTCTCCTTTCCAGCAAACACTCACCAAAGGTTCTGACTCCAGCTTCTCTATCCCGACAAACTTTTGCTTCTCCAACCTTTCCTGCCAAACCCTCCATCTCAAAACTCCATCCCAAAAAATGAGGATCCACACTGTACTTTGCAGACTCCGTGAATGCGCTTTGAGTTGCCCAGGGCGCAATGCTAGAAGAGCATCCTGAGAGTTGCGGCCGGGCCAAAACGAGGCCGGGGAGAGGTGAAACTACACCTCCCAGGCCTGGAGTCGAACTGGATGAGCCCTACAGTGTGGACGGACCCAGAAGGGAGCAAGGAAAGAGAAGAGGCAGAAGGAGAAACCTTCCTGGGGTGCCTCCTTCTCCCCAGAAGAGTTTACCTGAGCATCCTTGCTGGGACTGTTTCTCTCCTTCCTCCTGAGTGGCTTGCTTTCCCTCCTTTCCCCAAATCTCTTGAGTGAAGAGGGGGGGCCTCATCTTCTGCCTCATCTCCCCCCCCCAAACAACAACACAAAACCCTTCTCCCCCCCTAAATAAGAAGCCAAATAAGATGGCCTTCCTTTCCTTTCTGGAGCTGCTGCTGTTCCTTCTTCTTCTTCCTCCCTGGGATTCGGGGTTCAAGGCACACGCATCTCTCTGCTCTCTCCCCCCCCCCCCGAAAAAAGAGGTCGTCCCCTCCCTTCATTCGCTCACCTCCACCCCCCCCCCCCCGCATCCTTCCCCAGTCGCGATTTAATAATCCGGATTCGCAGGCACAGCTCTCCATGCAACGGGGCTCTCTTTTCCCCAACTCCCTTTTCCAACCCTATTTAGAACTCACAGAGACTGAAGAAGAGAAACCCAGAAGCTGGAAAGAAGACAGAGAGAGGGAAGGAAAAGGAGAAGGAAGGAAAGAAGGAAGGAAGGGACAGGAGCCGAAACAACAAATGGATTTCGCTTCGGATTCCAGCCGGGGAACCCATCTCCTCTTCCCCTCCTAAAGGCCCAAAACGCATCTTTCCCACACCTCGCTTCATTTCTTACTTTTCTTTCCTCCTTTTTTTCCACCTTCCTTCCTTCTTTCCTTGCTTTCTCCTCTCTTTCCTTCCTTCTTCACTTCACTCCTTTCTCTTTCCTTCTTCTCTTCCCTTCCTTCCCCAACTCTTTCCTTCTTCCTTCTCTTTTTTCCTTCTCACTTCCTTCTTCTCTTCCTTCCTTTCGCCTCTCTTTCCTTCCTTCTGAACTTTCTTTTTCCCTCCTTCCTTCCCTTCTTCCTTCCTTTCTCTTTCCTTCTTCCCTTCCTCCTTCCTTCCTCCTCCCTTCCTGACTCTTTCCTTCTTCCTTCCTTTCCTTCCTTCTCACTTCCTTCTTCTCTTCCTTCCTTTCGCCTCTCTTTCCTTCCTTCTGAACTTTCTTTCCTTCCTGCTTTCTTTTCCCACTTCTTCCCTTTCTCCTTTCCTTTCCTTCCTGTTTCTCCTTCTTCCTTCTTCCTTCCTCTCTTTCCTTCCTTCTCTTTCTTCCTCCTTCTTCCTTTCCCTTTCCTTCTCTTCTTCTCCTTCCTTCCTTCCTTTCCTTCTGTCCTCCTTGCTTTCCGTCCTTCCGTCTTCCCTTCCTTTCTCTTCTTTCCTTCCTTCTGTCCTCTTTTCTCCCCTTTCCTTCTTCCCTTCCTCCCGTCTCTCTTTCTTTCTGTCCTTCTTTCTTTCTTTCCTCTCTTCTTCCCTTCCCTTCCTCAATTCTTTCCTTCTCACTTCCTTCCTTTCTCTATTCTTTCCTTCCTTCCTTCTTTCCCTCTTCCCTTCCTTCTCCCTCTTTTCCTCTCTGAAATCAAATTTGAAGGGAAAAGGAAGTGGGGAAAAAGTCGGAAAACTTCGAGTGCAAGCTCTCTCTTTTTGCTTCCCGGTCGCCGAGGCAGCACAAGAGAGGCCGGAAAGTAACTCGGAGGAGAGTTTGAAGGGTGGTGGTGGTGGGTCGGGAAAGAGCTCGGTTTCCACGCGCAAACCCCCCACCTGAGTGGGAAGGGAGGGGAGGGAAGGAGGGGGCGCGGCTCCTCGACAGAGATCCAGGCAAAAAAAAAAAAAGGGGGGGTGGTTTTCAGGATTAAATCCGGATTGTAGAGAACGAGCCCGAGCAAGGGAAGCGTCTCCCCAATAGTCCAGCTGACCGGCTTGGCTTCCTTCTCCAGCATTTTCTCTTTCTTTCTTTCTTTCTTTCTTTCCTTCCTTCCCCTTTCTTTCCTCCTTTCTTCTTTTCTTTTCTCCTTCCTCTTCCTCCTTCCTTCCCTCCTTTCTTCTTCTTCTTTTCTTTCTTTCCTTCCTTCCTTTTTCTTTCATTCCTTGCTTCTTTCCTTCTTTCTTACCTTCCTTCCCCTCCGTTCCTCCTTTCTTTTCTTCTTTCCTTCTTTTTCTTTCCTTCCTTCCTTCCTTCTTTCTTTCATTCCGTTCTTCCCTTTTTCTGTCATTCCTTCCTTCTTTCCTTCCTTCTTTCCATTCTTCCTCCTTTCCTTCCTTGTTTCTTTCTTTCCTTCCTTCTCTCCTTCTTCCTTTTCCTCTCTTTCCCTTTCCAAAACTCCAGCTGATCCACTTCTCCTCTTCTTTCAGCCTTCTCTCTCTCTTTCTTTCCTTCTTTCCTCCTTTTCTTCCTTCTTTCCCTCTTTCTCTCTGTTGGGCTCATTTTCTCCCTCTTCCTTTTCCTCTCTTTCCAAAACTCCAGCTGATTCACTTCTCCTCTTCTTTCAGCCTTCTCTCTCTCTTTCTTTCCTTCTTTCCTCCTTTTCTTCCTTCTTTCCCTCTTTCTCTCTGTTGGGCTCATTTTCTCCCTCTTCCTTTTCCTCTCTTTCTCTTTCCAAAACTCCAGCTGATCCATTTCTCCTCTTCTTTCAGCCTTCTCTTTCTTTCTTTCCCTCCTTCTCTCCCTCTTCCTTTTCCTCTCTTTCCCTTTCAAAAACTCCAGCTGATCCACTTCTATTCTTTTCCACTCTTTCTTTCTTTCCTTCTTTCCTTCCTTCCTTTTCTCCTTCCTTCCTTCTTTCCCTCTTTCTCTCTTTTGGGTTCCTTCTCTCCCTCTCCCTTTTCCTCTCTTTCCCTTTCAAAAACTCCAGCTGATCCACTTCTTTTCCAGTCTTCTCTTTCTTTCTCTCTTTCTTTCTTCCCCCCTTCTCTGGGCTCTCCTTCCCTCCCCTCCTCCTCTTCCTCCTCAAGGTAAGTTCCTTCTATTTCCCTTCTCCTCTTCTTTCAGGCTTCTCTCTTTCTCTCTTTCCTTCCTTCCTTTTCTCCTTTCCTTCCTTCTTTCCCTCTTTCTCTGTGTCCGCTCCTTCTCTCCCTCTTCCTTTTCCTCTCTTTCCCTTTCAAAAACTCCAGCTGATCCACTTCTCCTCTTCTTTCAGCCTTTTCTCTTTCCTTCCTTCCTTCCTTCTTTCCCTCCTTCTCTCCCTCTTCCTTTTCCTCTCTTTCTCCTTCCAAAACTCCAGCTGATCCACTTCTCCTCTTCTTTCAGCCTTCTCTCTTTCTCTCTCTCTTTCTTTCTTTCCCCCTTCTCTGGGCTCCCCTCCCCTCCCTCTTCCTCCTCCTCAAGGTAAGTTCCCTTCTATTTCCCTTTGGCTTAGAGTGGGGAAAGAGTGAGGGGTCGTGGGGGGAAGAGAGAGAGAGGGATGGGGAAAGAGAGAGAGAAAGAGAAAGAGAGAAGAGAGCAGGCGGGCTCTTACCATGGCGCTGCGCCCTCGAGGCCAGCTCGGGCTGGGATTGGAAATGCTGCGGCTTCGCTTGTTTCCTCCGCGACATGCTGGCGCAAACATCAGCTGAGGCAGAATAAAAAATTGCCAAAAAAAAATCGGCTCAAAATTACGGAAATCGAGAGCTTTGCCTCCCTCCCTCCCTCCCTCTTGGCTCTTCCCCTCCCTCCCCTTCCCTCCCTCCCTCCCTCCTGCGCATGTGTCTCCCTCTAATTGCGATGATCAATAATGCATTGCGATTAATCAGACCGGGAGGGGAGGGGAG